ATGATTTTCCAAATATATTCCATATGTGCACGCGTGGTTGTCGATCCGTTTCACTATTTTTCCGCGACTGGATTTTTCAAATACCCACGCGATTTTCGTTCATTTGTACAACTATATATGAAACAGGGGACCTTTATGCGATCATTCAAAACCAACGGAGAATTGGTATTCTCTTTAAGGAAGATCAAATACTGGATTGGTTCGTTCAATTATGTTTGGCCATAAAGTATATTCATGATCATCGAATTTTACACAGAGGTGATGTCATTTTTAAGACTTGTATGACAATCGAAATTAACGCCATTTATTACCTTTTTTAAATTTTACTTTTCTCATTTTGGTTTAAAAAAACTAGATATTAAAACCAAAAATATCTTTCTTAGTAAAGATCGTTCGATTGTTAAGCTCGGTGACTTTGGAATTGCAAAAAAATTGAAGCATGGATCAGATTTTGCAAATACAGCGATTGGTATATCATTCGTTTTCTTTTCTTATAGTTTTTCATAATTTTCATAATTTTCATAATCATCGTAATCATTGCAACCATCGTGATCCTCTTCTTTCTATTTCATCGTCATTTTTTAACTAATTAATCCAGGGACCCCTTTTTACCTCAGCCCTGAAATTTGTGACAACAAGTCATATCCTTTTTTTCACTCATCATTATATTAGCCGATTATATTAGCCAATTCATGAATGATTTTTATCCTTAATTCAATAATTTTATTATTTATTATTTTTTTTGCATAAACATATAATAAAATGTCTGACATTTGGGCGTTGGGATGCGTCCTCGTAATTATCATAAATTTTACTATTTTTTATATTGCTGTTTGTTATTTATAATTTGTTTCGTCACTATTTTTTAGTACGAAATGACGGCATTACGTCATGCATTTGAATCAAAGAGTACAACAGGACTGTTTCTTAAAATTTCAAAAGGAACATATCCACCTATTCCAAGGTATTACGAACGCACGTGCTTGTGACATCAAGTAAAATGATTCTTTTTTCAAGTACAACCATCATGTCACATAAAATCTTTAAAAGGATAAAAAAACAAAAACATTAAAATATATATATTTAAAATTCTATTTATTTATAGCCTCTACTCTAAAAATCTCAGAAAACTTGTCTCATCATTACTGAAAATATCTCCGAATGATCGACCTTCTATTGAGGATATTCTTAAATTAAACTTTTTGAACAATCACATAGAACGCGTCACGAAAAAGCTGGGGGTAACCCTCACATGCCAGGATACTTCTCAAAAGGTAACATTTTAAACAAATTCGGTAAAATACATTTTAGAAACATTACCACTTTTTTAAAAAATTTCTTTCAATTAAAGTTAAGCTTAGATTATCAATCGCAATGTGAAGAAAATACTGTCTTATCGAATTCACAATTAATCGATAATTTTTTTAAAGAATTTGAATGTAATCCTGTTAGTAAAGTATCTTATGGTAAAAGTTGCCAAACAAAGAAACGGCAAAAACCGGCAGCAGTAAACGCTAATGCATTATCATCAGGAGGAAAATCTCAAGAACCACGGGTTTCTTTCAACGTCAAAAAATCAGAGAATTACATAAGCGATCAAAAGTCACAGAAGTCACATGCGAAAGAAGATCTCATACGAAAATCTTTGGTGAAAAGTGCCAAAGTTATGACAAATCGTAATGAAGACCATACTGAAAACGGTGAAATTGAAAATGATAATTTTAAAAGCAATCTTTCCAATAGTACTAGTAATGCCGATAACATTTCAATGTGCTCAAAATCACAAAACGACAAAGTTGATATTATTCACAGCTATAACAATAACTTAACCAGTGAGAAGACTACTAATGAAACAAAAAAACCAAATCAGTCTAGCAATGTTAAAAAGATCAACAATAATAGTGTCAAATACAGTAATGCTAGTAAATGCAATGCGTGCAACCTTAAAAAAATCGGCAACAATAGCATAAACAATAGTAGTAATGTTAATAATGTTGAAAGAGCTATGAAGACATCATGCAATTTTAATCAAATGAATAGTTCTAAAAAATTTGATATAAAGCAAAAACCAATGGTCAAAATTGATAAAGTCTGTGCTATATTGAAAAAGCCATCGAGTTCGTCATTATCCACCAAAATTGATTCTCAATCACGTAAAACATCAGAAACAACGACAAAAAATTCTTCAACAGTTATCAAACAAACCATATCCGTCAATGTTTCCAATACACCAATTGCTTTGCCACTTCCTACACCACCTTTATCTCCATCAAAGAAAGTTAATTCCAATAGTGAAAATAACATAATGCCGACTAAAATAACTATCGCGTCGTCATCACTTTTATACTCAATCGCTAACAAAGACACGAAAAAGAAGTCATTGGATACGCCATTCTCGCTTATCGAGGGATTAAAACGAGATCTCGAGTATTTGTTAGGGTTCGATAAATTTAATCAATGCTATAAACTTTTAACCTTGCACCCAAAAAAACAAAAAATTAGCGATGAAAATTCGAACCAATCAAGAATGATAGTAAGAGAAAAGATTATTGAAGCAAAGTTGAAACTTCTTCTAAACGGTAGAGGCCAACATAATTACATACCCATCTTGAAAGAGTTGGGTAAGCAGATTTTAAATTATTAATTACTATCGCTATTCGTTATTGAGTGTAAACAATTAATGGTTAATGGTTTCAAATCAAAACTTTACTGTGCTAAATATAGTACTTTTTGAACAAGAAGCATATTTTGAGTAATTTTTCATGGCGTTAAAAAAAACAATTTCCGGTTATTCTCAAACATCGAATTTCCGAATATATATCTATTGTATTAAATTTTACGTACGTAGTAATAAGCAACTGAGTGGCGCATTTAGTTTTATTAATATGGAATATACAGTAATAAATAATATTGGTTTTTCTGAGGTCAATTTTATTTTTCATTCATATCACTCTCGAACTTGTCACTTTTTTTTTTTTTGTTAAAAAATCGAATTGCAGAATTGTGTAACGAAAAAATAAAAATACGTATCAGATTTATTTTTAAAACGTTAACAATAAAAATAGACAAAAGGCAACCAATAAAGACTTTTATATTAATATAGAATTAATTATAAACACCAAAACACCCTAATGTTACCAAATATTTTTGGCAATGATTAACAAATAAAAGAATTCGTTAAAAATTGTTATTGTATAAAGGCAAAATTTAATATTGATTCATTCAACATCGATATAACTGAAATCCAGGCTAGCCTAAAAAGCTCAGCTATATTGCATATACATATTCTCTATGTTTATATAACGGAATAGGCATTAAATTCCGTTATAAACCTATTTTTGACCTGATTTTTTGTTTTTTTATAGTAATCTTGGTCATTGAATACTCTCTGATTGATGCATTATTGTTATATTAAATGTATTAAATGGATCAGTAAAAATTAGTAATTGCGATTGGACTGACAAAAATGTAATAATGGCTTTTTCACTATCGAATTTGTTATAACCGTTTCTAAATGTCTGTTAAAAAAGTTTGATACTTCAAGCTTGATCCGTTAAACTGGTGAATCTGGTGCAAGAATCTCCGTTAAATCGATAGTTAATTATATTATATATATATAATTTATATTCATAGTTTGTTCGAAATAATACAAAAAGCATTAAAAATAAATTGAGTAATTTGTTTAAATTGAGTTTAATTTACAATATTTAACAAAAAAAAATTTTTTTTTGTTTAGAGTATAATCGAACCCAATTGCAGGTTATAAGAGAGGTTGAACTTAGTAACACATTTGGGAAAAATTAAACTATAATACATATGGGCTGAATGCTAGAACAGACGAAATTAGTATAATTGAAGTTTGATTTTTATTGGCTGTAAATATGCAACTTGAAGATTATAATTTATAAATCATATTTGGTTAATAAAAATTTTATATCGATGTCGATATATAGAATTATTTTTAGTATACGTAACAGATTATTAAAAAATTTATATTGAAATTATAAGATAAAGGACAAAAAAAAGATTTTATATAGTATAAAAAGATAAGATATTTCGTTTTTGTATTTCTTAAACTGTTAATACGTAGTACGTTTAGTTAGCAAACAAATTTGCCTACTAAAAATCAATATTTTTTAAAAATTTAATACTATAATACAGGCCTACCGAAAAATTAATTGCAATTAATTTTTATCAATACGTCATATTATCATGAAATTAATTGAAACCCAATTAATGAGCGGTCATTGTGCAGCAGGCGGAACCAAGAATCCCGGATGAACTTTTTTTTAAATGAAAGCTCTTAGGGAGACGTATCTAACAAAAAGACGAAATAATTGCAATTAATTGCAATTAAATTCAATTTTCTGCGTAAAGCGATGCCTGATGCAATCCAATTTTTAAACAGCGAAAAATCCAAAATCGTATTTATTTGCTGTGATTAATGGCGGATATATATGTAACCCAATTATGTAAAATTGCAATTAATTGACCAATTATGGCTGCGCCACCAATCAATTAATTGAGTTCGAAATATTGCAATTAATTGCCCCCACAATCAATTATTCGGTAGGCCTGCTATAATAATATTTAAAAATAAATAAAAATTATAAAGAATTTATTTAGCATTCACCTGGAGGTGAAATTCATCACGACATGTTTTTAATTATTATTATTATATAATCTATGAAAATATTATCACAAATTTTAAAGCTAAAATTAGTCTTTAGAATTAGGGTTTAAGGCTTAAATTAAAAAAAAAAATTGATTTTTTAAAGTGCTAACCATTTTTATTTAGTGTACCAAATACCTATTATCAAAGCAGTTTTTAAAAAACAACATACCTGATGAATTTTACCTTTGGTAAACGTTAAAATTGTTTAATTATAAATAGAATTTTACTAATCTTACACGGGGGTTTGAAACACGGGTATGATTACAATTAATTTTTATTAAAAATACAAGTAAATAATAATAATTTTAATTAATATTAAGGTTAGGATTAGAGGTTAGAGTTAGTAAAAAGTATAGTTTATAGTAAAATTTTGCAAGGAATTTTTTTTTCTTAGAGTCTAAAAGATGGTTTAATAATTAAAATTTTAAGATATCATCAATTATTCACTTTTTTTATTATTTTTGTTATACAAAAAATGATCTGCATTCTGCATTTAATTCTATATTTTGATTAGCTTTTTTATTTGTTTTATATAACAAGTGTTCAAACACCCCATGCACAAATAGTAATTGTTTTATAAATATATATAGTAATATTTTATTTATTTATTTAGTAAGTTTTGTTTTTTGTTAATTTATTAAATTTTGCAATAAGTTTTATTTACAAGGTAAAACTAACTAATAAGGGGCATGCCATTTATCACGTGATTTTTACCATGGATACATGGGTCAGGTGGGTGATCATATACATATATATCTATATAATATAGTATATAATCAAATATAATGAAATATATAATATATAAATTATATATATATATTATAAATCTTGGATTTTCTTTAATATAGGTGGGTAAACTCCACCAGCTCCGCAACTCCGTTATTAAAAAATTAATGATTACTAATCATTAGCGAAGTTTATTTCTTATATTGCCCACCTATACTAAAGAAGATCCTAAATCTTTAATATTAAATAACTTTTGATCTACTGGTCCGTTTTAGATTATTTAACTGTCAAAATGTTCGTCTTGATGAGACAATTCTAATGAATCCAAAATCGCTAAAATCTAATCACAGGATCTTGAGATCGTTAAGGTTTTTTGTACTATTTCATATATAATAAAATTTATTATATTATATACGAAATAGTACAAAAATCTTAACGATCTCAAGATCCTGTGATTGGATTTTAGCGATTTTGGATTCATTAGAATCGTCTCATCAAGACGAACATTTTGACAGTTAAATAATCCAAAACGGACCAGTAGATCAAAAGTTATTCAATTTTAAAAATATTAAGAAGTTTATTAATAATTAATTAAATCGGCCAATCAGAATCAAGCTAGAGGTGATCACACCATACATGGATGGGTGTGGCTACTAAGTAAAAAATATTACATGATAAATGGCATGCCCTAAGCATAACAGATACAGGATGTAGGTGAGATTTTTCGGGTCACGTAGACTCTGACTCTCTGATCCTACTCCAGATAATTATCACATTACATCACATAATCACATGCCATAGTAAAATTTAGACTAAGAATTTTTTATACATATGTATGTACAGTAGTCACCAAAAGTAACGCCCGATTTATTAGATAAAAATAAAATTTTTATTTATTTTATTTTTGCATTACAAAACATTAAATTTTTTTTTATTTTT